TGTGATGGTATGTACATACCAGATTCTTTCAATGTCACTGAAGAATTTATACTTGGGCTGCACAGAGCCAGAACAAAACCTGTAACAATAAGCTTCACTCGCGGGCAGTGGTACACGCATGCTTTACACATTACAGCATCATCTTACGCATCCTGGCAGAGCTAGAGAATGAGAACAAAAATGTCCTGTGGACTGAAGAAGTAATAATAAAGGATACACAGCCTGCAGCTGAGAAGACGTCTGGGAGGGGCCATCTCGTTCTCACACCATCTGCTCCTCTGATCCCACAATGTCGCTCTGCCCTGAAGTTCCAATCAGTGTCTTTGAAATGGGGGAGAAGAGGAGAAATCCAGAGCTTTCAAGTTGTTCTTAATTCGTTTTCATGTACTTAAAACATTTCAGAAGTTATATACATTGCAATTTTAGAGAGAGTTCTACACAGTCCCAGTGGGTATAAGATTAAAAGCAGCAGTTGGTCCAGGTACTAAGTAGCAGAGAGGAGACTTTCCGAAAGAAATTTTTCATGTTCACAGCGGTTTTCCCACTTAGAAAGCCTGAACGCAGACTTACCACAGCAAACTGAAAATAAGCAAAGTTACAGGTGCTGGAGAAACCTGGAAAATTCACGAGTTTCATAAGAAGCTGGGTTATGAATGTCTCCCCTCCAGCCACATCTCTGTACCACCAAAGGCAGAGAACTCTGTAGATGTGGAGTTTACCATCACACGACAGGGCTCCCAAATTAAGTTAAAATTGGGACATCTATTTAGATGTCTGGTGCAAACGTCTTAGGAGCAAAACGTTACTTCTGTCATGTTCAAATTTGGAATCTGGCTGTGCCTGGCACCCGAAATGCCCCCAAATTGCTGGTATTTGCAGAAATTGCTGCAAACCTCTTAACAAAACATAGACTTTGATGCGAAAATGAAATCATAGCTGAGTGCGTGTTTATGAAACCCAAAGAATGGTTTTCTGTTTAAATAGGCTATTGAAATAATTGTTTAAATTTTTGTGATGACATTGTCTTTCCTTTTATTTTTCTTTGATTTTTATTATTATTATTATTTTAGTTTAGGGCTTCCCAGGTGGTGCTAGTGGTAAAGAACACACCTGCCCATGCAGTAAGAGATATGGGTTCAATCCCTGGGTGGGGACGATCCCCTTCAGGAGGACATGACAACCTACTCCAGCATTCTTGTCTGGAGAATCCCGTGGACAGAGGAACCTGGTGGGCTACAGTCTGTGGGGTCGCACAGAGTCGGACACGACTGAAGTGACTTAGCGCGCACGCAGGGCAGGCATTCAGGACTCATCGTTTTTCTGTGTTCTTTGTCTTTCAGTCTGTGGGAGGCTCAGCTGGCTGTTTTCTCCCCCCAGCTCTGGAAAGCCTAGCTGAAACGCCAAGACTTTTGTATGCAAATATGAACCAATAACTCTGACTGTTTTCCCTTTTGCTTCAGAGAGAAGGGGTGTCGCCTTTCTCCCCGGGCAGTGTCAGAAAGACCTTGCGAATGAAGGGGCTTCTCATGTAGGAGGAGAAATGACTGCAGAAGGAGAGACAAGGGTTAAGATCAGAGGGCAGATGCGCTCATTTACAGCATATTTTCATGGGCTGGAACGGCCTCACATGATCTGTGACATTTGGCCACAATGGAGAGAATTTGGAGAGAGAGAGAGGTCAGGTGGGCGTCTTGGGAGAAAAACAGAGAGAAATACTATAAAATATGTGCAGTTGAGCGGAAAAATCAGCATCTGCCAGCTTTTTGTTTTCTTTCTTGTTTTTTTGGATTCACAGGAAATCATGTGTGTGTGTGTGTATGTGTGTGTGTGTGTGTGTGTGTGTGTGCGCGCGCATGTAGTGGGGCTCTGAAAATGAGAGAGGAGACACAACCTCTCAGAAAGGGAGTGGAAGGAAGAAGCTAAATAGACGGAGCTCTTCCTTGAAGGTCCGAGTGCCAATCATACAGACTGAAACCTCAAGGTGAAAAGTTTGGTTTCCCACCGCCCCCACCCCACCCCTGCCTTGGAGTGAGTATATGGAAGAGGCAGCCAGGATGGGGTAGGTGCCCCCAGGTGGATGAAACCCAGACAGATCACTGTTTTGCTTTAATGGCTTCTGCACACTGGCCCCAGGACGCCGCCCTCAGACGAGCAGGACTCTGAGCTCAGGTCTGTATGGAAGCACCAGGGCAGAAAGTGCTCCGCTGTGCCTGTGGGATGGTGTGACTCTACAGTATGTAAATATACATCCTCAGTGCCTGAAGTCTCTTCCTCATCTTTGGGTCTTTGTTTCCTTAAAGACCCCGGGATATTCCCCCTGCATCCGCCCTCTCTGGGACTGGCTTCTTCTGCTCGTTCCTTGTGGGGGCTGGTCCTTGGGAACCCGACTGAGATCGAGTGGGGTGGGGAGGGTATTTGCTAGGGATTGACCACTCTAAAAAGATGGAGGGAAGCAGGATGAGGGAGAGGGTGGACTGGATTGCAGTGGAGACATCCCTGCTGGTTCTAACGGTAAAGAATCTGCCTGCAATGTGGAAGTGGAGAAGGAAATGGCAACTCACTCCAGTATTCTTGCCTGGAGAGTCTCAGGGACTGGGGAGCCTGGTGGGCTGCCGTCTGTGGGGTTGCACAGAGACGGACACGACTGACGCGACTTAGCAGCAGCAGCAGCAGCAGCAATGTGGAAGACCTGGGTTCGGTCCATGGGTCGGAAAGATTCCCCTGGAGGAGGGCATGGCAACCCACTCCAGTCTTCTTGCCTAGAGAAGCCCCTGGACAGAGGAGACTGGTGGGCTACAGTCCATGGGGTTGCAAAGAGTCGGACACGACTGAGTGACTCAGCCCAGCATAGCACAGTCCATAATCTGCCCCAACTGTGCACGCATGCAGCTGTTTTCAGCCCCTTATGGTGTCTTTGTACTTTTCACTCGAGGAGACCTCTGTCTAGGTGTGTGCACTGCAATGAAGTATCTGAGGCCCCTGGCCTCAGCCTGTCTCAGGACCAAGCCAGTGGTCTCGCGTTGGACTGACGGGGCAGGACTCAGAGGCCCGCCGAGGTCCAGCAGTCTCCACACTGTGGCCGCATCCCAGGGCCACAGAGGACTCGCCGGCGATACCTCCCCACCCCTTCTAGCGGCCCCCCTCCTCAACTAGCACATGTTCCGGCCTTGAAGCTGGCCTGGTGAGCTTCAAGAGACCACCATTCCCCGGGATCAAGTCCCTGGTCACAGGCAGAGCTGGGCACTCACCTCTTTGCCCTGACAACTGGCCAAGGGAGCATCAGGGGTGCCCCAGGGGGTGCTGGGGACCACGAACTTACCCGCCCACCCACCTCCTCTCCCACCCCTGTATCGTAGCAAACTGACCTTTTCCAGATGACCAGGCTCAAGTCTCCTGGAGGGCCAGGTAGCAGCCTCAACTTGGAGTTCAGTGGGACTTTGCTGTGTCTCTTTGGGAAAGCTAGCTTTCCTTGGAGACTAAGACCCTAACCCCACAGAGCATAGAAGTATGGTGAGAGGACTCACAAAATCTCCTGCTGAGTCCTGGGGAGTGATGGTGAGCTGAGTACCTCTCCGCCATGGTTACTGACTCATGAATTCTTCTCACTGAGGACATAGCATCCTGAGAAGACCCTTGTTTCCATGGTTCCCTGACCCCTGGAGGAGGGCACCCCGTCCTTATCAGCATCACCTCCTGATCGTCACCTCCTCATGCCAGGGCCCCACCAGGCTGGCAGCTTCCAGGTGGCTCCCTGTCTGATACTATGGGTCCCTCCCACAATGCCTTTGCTATGGAATCAGTCCCTCCCTTGTGATTTTCAGAGGACCAATACCAGTGGTACCAGTGGATCAAACCCTCTTGACCACTTGGGCCATGGTGCCGCCTGAGAGCCTGTGGGAAGAAAAAGGCAAGCCCATAGCTAGAGCATGTGTCCATTCTTGTAAAAGCAAACACATCCAGTCCTTCGACATGGAAGGGGCCCAAAGAAGTCAACTCGCCACCAAGTAATCCTCTGGTCCCTTGAGGTGGGACGCCTTGTCAGCTTTCCTGTCTGAATCTTCACGCCCAGCTCTTGCACACCTGGGCTTGCTGCTCACCTGCATACCAACCCCCTTTTCATTTGCTGTGTCTAAACTCAAACCTTGAGCTCATTCAACTGAAATCAAACTCTTCTCCTCTTGCGTCAAGGGGAATCCCTTGGAATGTTCCAGTTATCCTTGGCTATGGGGCAGAAACAGGGAGCCAACTCGGATAGTCCTTGCATTGAGCCTTCTCATTTCAGCCTCCCTGTCTGGGCTTGCTTACCTTCTCTGTGAATTTTCGAGTCAGTTCCCTCCATGATTTCAGTCCCTCTCAAGTTTTATTATTCCATGACCAGACATAAATATTACTGGTTAATCTTTTACATTTTAATTGAAAAATAAACATGTACACATGCTGAGAAGCCAGACCACTATACAGGGTGTGTCTGCATCCAGTTTTCCCTGCCCCCTTCCAGGCAGCCCCTATTTCTGTTCCCTCCACCACCTTTTCTCCATTCCCTGCTTCAGACCTTCTTGCTGATGTTTTGTCTTCTGTATCGAAGCCCTTGAGGCCACTCTGACCCAGCAGAGGGGCCGCTCAGCTCTTTGGGAGTTTTGACGGCAAACAGTGGGGTCTCTTCAAGTGTGCCCCACCCCGTCCCTGGAACAGGCTTGGGTCCTAGGTGCATGCACAGAAGGGTCTCATGGCCTCCCCTTTGCCCACTGGCTGCATTCTGCCACCTTTGCTGACCGGTCATGGATGCTGGTGCCAGCAGCCCCTTTCCTGGTCTCCTGACTCCTAGCCTGCTTGGACCACCGTCATCCTGGGTTACTGAACTCTGCAGAGGGGCTCTGCCATCCCCACTCCCTGGGGACCGTGTGTCAGGCCTTTCACTTCCATGGATGCTGTGATGTGCCCAGAAACGCCTGCTGACACATGGATGCCCACAGCCCCACTCATCGTATGACGCCTTGACCATGCCCATCCACACTTCCCCCAGCCCGTCCCCACCGCCTCCTTCATCATACAGACAAGGGTGTGGGGGCTCGGACATTCATATGACAGCAGGTGACCTGAAGGGGATTCCGGAGTGCGCCTGTGCCTGGCGCTGGGAGCGGCAGCTCGCTGACTGCGATGCGATGAAAACCGCCCTGCACCCTGACGGCAGCTCCCTTGATGGGAGACCGTCTGGATGGCGTTCCAGGCAGCGAGAAGGAGACACGGGCAGGAGTGTCATCACCCACAGATCGCCAGTGGGGCCCTCCCCTGCCTTTGCATCCCGGGGCCTCAGTGGGCATCTGGAAGCAACCTCAACTTTGTAGATCAGGTGATGTTGCTGCAGCCCCTGGGGGCCGGGGGAATGAGGACACAGGGTGAGGCCCTTTGGACACTGTCTTCACTGAGTCTGGGGATCAAGGAGGGACTGGAGAGTGGGCAGAGATGGTCCCCATGAGAGCCCGCTGGGTGCCCTCTGCCTGGGATGTCAGACCCCATGGCAGAAGGGTGAACCTTGGGCCCTGGGGATTCTCCCAGGACACTGGCTGGAATCACTGCCCAGGGAACTCAGTCCACCCCTCTTCCCCTGGGGCCTGGATTCTCCTGGCTGACAGGAGGGGGACAGAATCCTCACCTGCAGCTGCAGGCTCAGGGCTGAAGGGACCCAGAATCGGTCTGCAGCAGTAGACATTATCCCCACAACAAAGGCTCTCTCCTTGACCCATCAGGCAGGATTCTCTGTTCTTGAGCAGGCCTCGACCTTGGCCCCATCCACCCTTGACCTGCAGAGCCTCTACTTAGCAAGAACGCTGCTAAGGAGAATCCCCACCCTTGAAGTTTGGTCACATTCCTCGTCTACCCCTTGGATACAGGAGTCTTGGGCCAAGAGAGCAAGCCTTCCTGGACCTCCAGCCATCTCCTAGTATTTTTCCATCCACTGACCCCATGGCTCCACTCATTGATTATAAATCCCCACTGTCTTTGACATTTTTGGAGTTGAGCCTAATCTCTCTGCCTTCTTGCAAAAGAGTTAACCTTTATGGCAAGAGTCTTGAATAAAGTCTTTGTAGTTTTAACAAAGGTTGGAATCAAGTTTTCTTTAAGATCCTCAGAGGGGATTTCAGGAAGTGAGAGGCCACACGATGAGGGTGATGGGGAACTGGGGCACCAGGGACCCTGAGCTGGTGAGAAGCATCCTCAGCTCACTCAAGTATCATGAGCCGGTGATGTCGTGGGCAGGGACTGACTCTCTCCCGGCTGGAAGCCAGATGTCCAACATCAAGGTGTCAGCAGGGTGATTCCTTCCCGAGGTTCTAGGGGAGGATCTGTCTCTTGCTTCTCTTCCAGCTTGGAGAAGCTGGTTCCCTCTGTCAATCCTTGAAATTCCTTGGCTTGTAGACACATCACTGTGATTTGTAAAACCACACACTTTTAAAAGTTGTAAGACACAGGGAAGGCATGAGAGGAAGGGAGACATACAGAAGAACTGGCCCAGGGGGAACTGCATCTCACACTAAGGCTGACCCCCAGCCTCACCACACGCCCATGATGAACGCAGGTGCATGAAAATTACCAAGGGGCTGAAACTGTAATCAAAGGACTCTCCCCACCCACCCACCCAGGAGTATGCATATTGGGTCTAAAGCAGGCAACATGGAAGTTGCCGCGCTGCTGTAACCTGGCATCATTTCAGGAAATAGTGCTTCAGGGCACCACACAAAGGCAGCAGAGTTTTATCTCCTCTGTGGCATCATCCCTGCATCTCTGTAGCACTTTCCAGAATTCAGTGGCCTTCACTGAACATCTCATTAGAGCTTTGTCCATCCTGTCATGTGGGAAATGCAGGAGCCTGTCTTCCTCCTGTGGGATCTCAGGGCCTGTCTTATGTAGAAGACATGAAGTGACTGGTTCAAGGTCACAGGCAGGAGATTGAAGGTGTCAGGGCTGGAATCCTGGCTTCGGGCTATCACCTACCTCTTATTCACAAAGATTCTAGGGATCCTGGAAAATTCAGGACATTGTGGGAATAATAAGATCAGAAATTATTCTACTTTCCTGTAAGTGAAAAGTGTGGAACAAACCTTCCTACATATGTATTTTTAAATGAATTTATCTAATTTTATTCTCATTCTCTCTCTAGGTACATCTAATTATCATCCAATAATGAAACTAATGGAAACTCTATACTAGGTGCCAGCCACTGGGAGGTAGTTAATGTACATCATTTCTAATCCTGACAATATCTCTGAAATTGGGGTGGAAATGTTCCCATTTAACAGGGGAGAAAACAGAGACTGGCTTTAGTCAGTTTCCCAATATACGCTACTTACAAATGTCAGATGGAGAAGGAAAGGGCAACCCACTCCAATATTCATGCCTAGAGAATTCTGTGGACAGAGGAGCCTGGTGGGCTGCTGTCGATAGGGTCACAGAGAGCTGGAGATGACTGAAGTGACTTGACTTAGCATACATGCGTGCATTGGAGAAGGAAATGGCAACCCACTCCAGTGTTCTTGCCTGGAGAATCCCAGGGAGGGAGGAGCTTGGTGGGTCTATGGGGCTGCACATAGTCGGACACGACTGAAGCGGCTTAGCAGCAGCACAAATATCAGAGCTGGGATACAAATTAAGAAGTATTTCACGTAGATACCTGTGTTTTCATGCAATGCTGTACTTGAACTGGACTATGACTTCCAAGGTATGTGTGCGTGCTCAGTCAAGTCCTACCTGTCTGTGGAATTCTCCAGGCAAGAATACTGGAGTGGGTTGCCACACATCTCCCGCCTTGGCAGGGGAATTCTTTACTGTTGAGCCACCTGGGAAGGCCCTATGGCTTCCAAATGACTCACAAATAACAGCTATCCGGTGAGAAAACTGTTTATAGGAGAAAAACACAGGATTCTGATTATTTTAAGAAATGCAATCAAAGCTTACATTTGTCTCCATGTTCATAAATTATTAACAGAAGGGCTTCCCCCTGCCCCATTAAATGAACTAAAAGTTGCTTGAATCTTTATTTGGGGATGTGAAATAGTGTCATGATTGCTGCTTTGGACTCCAAAACAGTAGTAGTTAGCTTATGAGCATCAGCAAATTACTTTCCTTATCTGTTTCATTATCTGTAAAATGAGGAGAACCATGGTTTCTATCTCTTAGTGTGATCATAGGAATTAAGTGAAATAACATTTGCATAATATTTGCACCATTAGTAAATGTTGGAAAAGGTTGCTTATCTTTATTGCATAATATCATTGGCTGGAGAGTTTCTACTTCGATACCTAACATACAGTATTTGAGAATTTTGAAATTAATAAAAGAAATTCCTTCAACCATTAATTATCTTTCCTGAAATTTAGAAATCACCAGAATTCTGATTAAAATGTTTATTATTAAGACACGTACTTTAGCATAAAGATTGCCATGTGGAAGCCAGGTATTTAATTGAGTCAGCTAATGCTTTCTGTTCATCCCATAATGTTCTAAAATTTTTAAACTGACATTTAAAATTAGGAACTTTTACATAAAAAATTCAAATAGCTGGTGTCTCTTGAAGAAGTTTCAGTTAGTCAGGATTCTCTAGAGAGAGAAATAGAGTCAATATGAGATCTGTCTACCTACCCACCTGTCTACACACATTGTTGTTCAGTCACTCAGTCGTGTCCAAATCTTTGTGACCCCATGGACCGCAGCATGTCCATGCCGCCTGGCCTTTACCATCTCCGGGAGTTTGCTCAAATTCACATCCACTGAGTCGGTGATGCTATCTAATCATCTCACTCTCTGCTGCCCTCTTCTCCTTTTGCCCTCAATCTTTCCCAGCATCAGGGTCTTTTCCAATGAGTCAGCTCTTTCCATCAGATGGCCAAAGTATTGGAGCTTCAGCTTCAGCAACAGTCCTTTCAATGAATCATCAGGGTTCATTCCTTTAGGATTGACTGGTTTGATCTCCTTGCAGTCCAAGAAACTTGGCCCTTAAATGAAGGCAGAGATTATGACTTCTCAGGTGAGTATATGGGAGGTGAGTATAGGAGATGAGAATAGGGGAAGTGAGTATATGGGAGGTGAGTATATGGGGAGTGAGCACAGGAGGTGAGTATAGGAGGTGAATATGAGGTCACTATATGGGGGGTGAGTATATGCAGGTGAGTATATGGGGGGTGAGTATAGGAGGTGAGTATATGGGGAGTGAGCACAGGAGGTGAGTATAGGAGGTGAGCATAGGAGGTGAGCATGAGGTCAGTATATGGGACATGAGTGTATGCAGGTGAGTGTGTGGGCAGTGAGGAGGAGAGCCTAGGAGGTGAATAAAGCAGCTGAGGAGATGCGTGTAGGAGGTGAATGTACACTGATCATACTCTGCTGAGGGATACTTCTGAGGAAGTCAGCAAGGGCAGGTGTTGCTCACCCCCCCGGGAGTCACTGGGGGCCTGGAGATGCAGTAGGGGTGGGCTGCCGGGAGGGCCTGACACCGGCTGGCTAGCAGACACTGGTGTGTGCCTCTTTTGTCTGTCTGGGAAAGGGCACCACAACAGGCAAGAGAGGAGACAAACACTTTCCAGGCTCTGAGACGGAAGTGGGAGTGACGCTGCAGCTGTCCTCCCGGAGCTGCGGCTTTCGGAAGAATGGGGTGAAGTCAACATGAGGCTGAGCAGTCCAGACAAGGGTTCTTTTCATTTTGAAGTTGCGGATGAGTAAGAGAGAACAAGGGGGTTGTCTTTGTTTACCTTTTGAGGCTCAGAGAAACACTGATGGATCGGAAGAGAGGAAGCGCCGGAGGTGGACGTGGGCAGCGGAGAAAAAAGCTCTCTACTCCCTCCTCTGCACATCGGGTCCAGGCTGGGGTATCCTTGGGGCACTGTCTCTCGGAGGATCCAGGCTCATCGGTCTGTCCTCTGGGTTGGCAGAGTGCGGCATTGCGCCATCACCTTCACTCCAGGGAGACTGAGCCTTCAGCACCCTGCTCCAGGGGCATCTTCCCAGCTGGACTCCTTGCCATCACTATTTCCCCAGTAAGGCTTGTGCAGAAGCTTCTGGGTCCTGGCGGGAGGTGGTGCGTGGGGTGAGGGAAGGGTGGTCTGCAGCCTCAGTGCCCTGGGCCATGGACCTGGCCCCGGATTCCCTGATGAGAGGGTGGGGAAGCCCTCCAGTCGCCCACGGCTGGGACCCAGGAAAACCAGAGTGCTGCATGGCTGTGCTCTTGAGAGGGACTTGGCTGTACCAGAGGGTCTCTGCTGTGCTCAGGAGGGTCAAAACCTCGCGGTCCCCTTAGTGTTTAGATTGGGCATGAAATCCGGTGCAAAACTCCATGAAATGTTGGTCCCGATCA